ATCCCATCGATTGGGCCAATGCTCAATAACAGCTGTTAGCTGTTGCATATGTAGGCGCTGTTGTTGTGCTGTTGTTGCCCTCTGTAGTTGTTGCTGTAGCTGTAGCTGTAGCTCTAGCTGTTGCAGTTGCCAAGGACAGCCGCATGAAGGAGGGTTCAGTGTGAGGCCTCTTCTACGCGTCAAGGTGCACCCACAGACAACACACACTTACACTGACACACACAGACGCACACACACACACCTGACACACGCAGCACCCACCTCACACAGAGAGGGGCGCGCGTGCATTTAGAGGCCGGCCCTTGGGTTGGAGAGGGGGAATTGAGTCGTTGTCGATGTCGATGGGTGGTGGCTCAGTCCGCTGGTCAGAGATATTGCATACACTCGCTATGCGGCTATGCGGCTATACGGCAATAGATCAATGAACAACAACAGAACTTTAAATAGATATGCAAAGTACAGAGTAAAAGAATGTTTAACATATTTATGAGTTCAGAGTTCATTTAGATGGCTGCAAGAGAAACGTTAACAACTTTCACGGGGATTCATTTGGAAATGGATTTAACTTTAGTGATCCCCAGCTCCGGAACGGAACCCACTTACATAAAGAACTGCGAGCCATTCGTATTCTTGCCACGATTGGCCATCGACAGCAGAAAGGGACGATCGTGCTTCTTATCAAAGCATTCGTCTGTAAGAAATGAACAGTTGGAAATATTTAGTAATATATATTGTTGAGCAAACTAAGTGGTAAAACCTAATAAGAAGTATTAAAGATTATATTGTGGAAATTTTGTTTATATATAACAATTGCCTTCGTCTCTAGTCTCAAGGATATCTCCTGAATATCTTGAATCCTTCGCTCTTAAGCCCAATTCATTTTTAAAAAGATTTTTAATCGATAACATTTCAATTACAATTGTTATCGATTTATTTAGATAAGCTTCCACTCTTATAGATACAAATATAAATCAACAATAAACAAATATTAAGTATATTACAATAAACAAAATATAAAGCATATATTTAATACATGAAAATATATAATGTTTATTTCATCTGTCCATTATTGATTGATATTTACTAGTTATTAATCCTAAAGAGAAAATATTAATTTATCTCTTTTCAATATGTAAACACAAATATTAAATGTAATTATATTAAATAGGCCCTAAAATTAAAGCGCAGCCATTAGATCGAATTAATTGATAGCACTTTGTATGTATGCACACATATACATACACAAGCAATCATGTACACACACACACACAGTAGCTACCTAAGAGAGTGAGAGAGACTGAGACTTACCCTCGAAAGTGCCGCCATAAATTGATTCGCCGCCGGTACCGTTGCCTGCACTAAAATCGCCCGCCTGCACCATAAAGTCCTTGACCACACGGTGGAATATGACACCTTTGTAGTGCAGCCGCTTGCCAGTGACAAGTCCGGTGCCCTTTTCGCCCGTACACAGTGCACGAAAGTTCTCAACCGTTTTGGGAGCTACATCGCTAAACAACTCGAAAACGATGCGACCGATGCTCAGGCCGCCGAGCGTTATATCGAAAAAACAACGCGGTCGCGTTGTGCTCGCCGCATCCCGTTTATTTACCGTCATATTTTCAGTTAAATGCAATTAAATTGTTATGTTTTTTATCTGCTCAGTTTTCTCACGTTGCACAACTTTTTCTTTTCTATTTTTTTTTTCTGTGATGAGCTCTGCGTTTGAACAACCAGGGCTGACAAACGTCGTAGAGAAATGTTGTATGTGTCAGGGCTACAAGCTGTGCTGCCAGTGCAGCCAATGTGTTTAAAGGAACCAATAGTTCCGCTCATTGCCGGAGTTGTTAAACTAATATAATTGCAAATGCTAAAAATAAATTTAAAAATAAAAACTATATATAAATTAAATGGAAAACGTAAAATCACCTATTTTTATTTATATTTAATTTGATTTATTTTAATAAATAAACAAAAATTAATTCTATATTATAAACTTTTCTTTATTACATGTTTTTTATTTTTTATCTATTCGCTTCTTATCTCTGATAATTCTGTATGACATTATTATCACCAAGTTATCTCAATGCAGTAAAGTAAATAATTATTACAAAATATATATATGGGTATACAAATAAGTATATTTTAATTGCACAGATAAAGTTAAGTAAAATAAAAACAAATGCAAAATACATATATATTTAAAAAAATTATTGAGGACAGGAACAGTGTTCAATAGATATATGTATGTATATATGTATGTAAGTAGGTATGTATAACTTTTCAACTTAGACTAAATATGTATGTATATATTTTTATAAAAATACATAGAAATCATAGCGCTCCCTGCCAAGCGGTCAGTAAAATGGAATTCTTGTGTGAAATCGGGTCGTGCCAGAGGGGGGGCAGTGCGGGGCTGCAGGGATTGTTGGCCTACTCCACGGTCACGGACTTGGCCAGGTTGCGTGGACAGTCGACATCGCAGCCGCGTAGCACGGCAATGTGATAGGAGAGCAACTGCATCGGGATGACAGTGAGGACGCCCTGCAGGCAGTCGACGGTGCGGGGTATTTGGAGCGAGCGCGTCGAGAAGGCCATTGTCTCGGTGTCGCCCTCCTCGCAGATGATGATTGGCCTGCCCTTGCGCGAGGTGACCTGCTGCAGTGCGTTCATGCACTTGGTGTAGACCGGATCGCGCAGCACGATCATCAGGACGGGCATCTCGTCGTCGACGAGCGCGAGAGGGCCGTGCTTCAGCTCGCCGGCCAGGATTCCCTCGCTGTGCATGTAGGTCAGCTCCTTGACCTTCAGAGCGCCCTCCAGGCAGGTGGCAAAGTTGAAGCCACGCCCCATGATCAGCAGCGACTTGTGCTGATAGAGCTCCTTGGCCAGCTGCTGCACCTGCGAGTTCAGCTCGAGCACCGTCCGGATGTGCTTGTCCAGCTGCGACAGTCCTGCGATGATCTCCAGCCGGCGCTGCTGCAGCGACAGACGATCCTCGGACATGACCAGGGCGAACATCACCAGCGAGATGAACTGCGAGGTGTAGGCCTTGGTGGAGGCGACGCCGATCTCGGGGCCCGCATTGATGTGGACGCCGCAGTGCGACTCTCGGCAGATGCTGCTGCCCACCGTGTTGGTGATGCCCACAATCAGAGCTCCGCGCTGCTTGCAGTAGCGCAGCGCCATCAGCGTGTCCGCCGTCTCGCCCGACTGCGAGATGAAGAAGCAGACATCGTCCCGGTAGATGGGCGTGTTGCGGTCAAGGAAGTCGGAGGCCAGCTCCACCATGACCGGCAGCTCGGTGAGCTCCTCCAGCAGCTGGCGCGTTGCGACTGCACTATGATAGGAGGTGCCGCACGCGATGAGCATGAGGCGCCTGCAGCGCTTGATCTCCGGTATGTACTCCTTGATGCCGCCCAAGACGACCGTTTGGGTGTCGAAGCGGACGCGACCGCGCATCGTATTGACTACCGATTCGGGCTGCTCGAAGATCTCCTTGAGCATGAAGTAGTCGTAGTTGCCCTTCATGATCTGCTGGATCTCCATTTTGAGCGTGATGATCTCGCGGGCGTGCGGATCATCCGAGGATTTGTTCAGCCGATGGATGCTCAGCGTGCCATCGCGTTTCACGGCGGCCACATCGTCGTCCTCCAGGTAAATGACACGGTTCGTGTGCTCAATCACAGCCGAAGCGTCGGAGGCAAAGAAATACTCCACCTCCTTGTGCTCCAGCGGCTGGAACTCTGCACTCACATCCACGTTGCAGGCGCGCCCGCTGGGCAGCAGCTGGAACTGGGGCTGGCCATGCGGCCGATGCGCCTTGGTGTACAAGATGGGCACATGATCTGTGGCCAGCTTGGTCTTGGCCTTAATCCCCACAAGCAACGGCGAGCCGCGGCGCGAGGCGACGCACTCGCCCGGAAAGTGCTTGGACTTCAAGGCAATGGCGAAGGCGCCTTCGATCTGCTGGATGGCCTGCTCGACGAGCTCCCCGAAAGTGTAGCCCGGATGCGTCTGCCAGAGATGATGCACCAGCTTGGCAATCACCTCGGTGTCCGTTTCCGACTCGAAAACGTACCCGCGCTTCTCCAGCAGCGTCTTCACATCCTTGTAGTTCGTGATGATGCCATTGTGGACGACCACGAAGCTGTTCGCCTCGTCCGAGCGCTGCGGATGGGAGTTCAGCTCGGAGGGCACACCGTGGGTGGCCCAACGTGTGTGCGCAATGCCAATGTGTATGTCCACAGGCTGGTCGAAGCCAGCGCCCTGGCACTGCTCCGCCAGAGCATCCTCCAGCACCTTGACCTTGCCGGTACGCTTCACCATGAGAATGTCGTGGGAGTCGTCGGGTGCATCAATGGCCAGGCCGGTGGAGTCGTAGCCACGATACTCCAGCCGCTTCAGGCCCTGCACCAACAGCTCCAGCACTTGCTGCCGGGACTTCGGCGTCAAATAGTTCAAATAGGCGAAGATTCCGCACATTATACAATTGTTGCTTAATTCGGGTTTATCTTGTGTTGCTCAATGGTTAATGGCCACGTCGACTGCACTTTGCTTCTTTATGTTGGCTGACTGACTGCTACAAAGTGGCAATTCCGCGGAAATTTTACGAGTGATAAATTCTAGCCCTCACACACCCTCGCACGCACACACACACAGATCCACACACACATGAAACAACAGCTGACGTGCGCAATGTAAACAAAATGCGTTGCATTCGCTACTCATTGTTGTCATCATGGGCCGTATGCTTGAAGTGTAGCTTACGTAGCAGATAGTACAGGTATACAGCAGCTATAAGCCATACACGCACAATTACTATGTGTTGTCTTTTTATTAAAATAATACATATTCAAAAGTGAAAAAAGAACAAGTCCGAAGAACAGCGGTATTTGAAGCGTTGCCATCTATCCGATTCGTGTCGTGTTGAGAAGGAATGGCAAAACGGCCTATCGATTTGCTGCTCACCACTTCGATATCAACAACAGCCCTGCTCTTTTCCTTTTCGACCGCGACGGGTAAAAAACCACATGTCTTGCTCGGTATCCGAGATTTATTAAAATTATGCTGCATAGTGCTGTTAAAACATAAACAAGTGCTTTTCGTGTCAACTAGTAACTGAATAACTTTGCAATTTGTGACAATCTGTGTAATATATTTGCATTCGAGCTAATTCGTAACCAAAAAACGTTCTAACTACCACAACCCACCAGCGCGTGAGTGAGCGAGCGAGCGAGAGCAAGTTACGGTGCGAGTGCAAAGAGTACGGAAACCGCAAAGCAAAGCATACGAAATAAAAACAACAACAACAACGGCAGCAGTAGAAGCAGAAGCGCAGCGCATACGTGAAACGTTAGCAAAGCAACGAGCAAAGCAAAAAAAACGTCAAGTTGTGTATCAATTTTTTGTTGCTCTCGCGTGTTGTTTTCGTCGACTTGCCACACACACACATTGTGATTTAAGTTCTTGGTGCGTAATTTTTGTTTATTTGCGAAAGAGAATATGACTCTGTGTACATGTATATAAAGACAATGTTTGGAAATGTGTCTCTGAAATTTGAGCTAGTAGAATAATAGTGCAGAAGGTTTAGTCAGGGGCGGGCAGGGGCTGGTGAGCTGCATAAACAGCTGTTCGCTGCTCAGGGATGCACAAAATGCAAGCGTTGTTGTTGCATAACCACGCTTGCGGCGTTTGTGCATCCATTGAGTATCTATTTAGTTTATTATAAACTAGTATTTGCCCTATATTTGAATAAGTTTGGCAGTTGTATTTGATATTGCGTCGCATTCTACATTCGGCTACCCAGTCTCACACTCCAACAGAATAGTGAGACAAGTTGGCAGCGCCGCCGTTAAGCGCTTGTTGCTCTTTACTCTGCTGCTTCGCACACTAGTGTGGGGGGCATTCGCGACTGTGGCTGCTGCTTCGCCGCGCCTTAACCTCACTTGTAACACTGTGTGGCTGCATAATATTATACTTGAGTTTCGAGTTCTGTCATCAATTTTAGAAGCGTGTATAATGCACCGATTCTGAGGCGAAATCAAACCAGTGCAAATAGAAAACTAAATCCAATTCGTAAAGCAGCGTGAAAAGTCCAATTCAAATTGTATGTGATATTTTGTATGTGGTGTTGCAGCAGCAGCAGCAGTTGTAGCAGCAGCAGCGCTGCAGGCAAGGGCAGAAGCAGAGGCCAGGGGCTATGGCACATCACTAGTGTTATAAACGTAAGCCGCGGGCAAGTGCCATCCAGTTAGAGTTTTTGCGTTTTCTCGGTCTTGTAGAGGTCGAACTGCAAATATTATGTATGTATGAGTGTGTGAGTGTGAAGAATATGAAGAAACAGAACAAATGCTAATTTAATGTTTATCTGCGTATTTACCATCATTGTCATTTTACAGTTACTCGTTGACATCCTCTGTATTTGGTAAGGAAGCACCAAAGAGTTTCCCCATCCATCAACGAGAGCAAAGATCAACCAGAGCCGAGCCACAATCTGGAGTAGCGCAACGAAAGCTGCCTACTCAGAGAATTGCAGCAGCAGGAGAAGCAGCAGACATAAATCGAACTCAAAATGTCCAGCAGCAGCAGCAAGGATGATGCCACAGCATCGAATGCCGGCGCCGTTACCGTTGCCGCTGTTGCTGCAGCATCTGCAGCGGCCACTGCATCATATGCAAATGTTGTCCAGAATCTGGATAACAAGAAGGCAGCAGTAGCCACTGCTACTGGCACTGCCACTGCTGCAGCCGCTGCCACTGTGGATAACAAGGAGAATCAACCGAATTTGAAGACGCTCAAATCGTGGAGTGAGGAAACCGCTGCTGCAGAGGCCGCTGTCGAAGAGTCGCCCACTGTGGGCGAGAAACGTGCCGCCGCTGGCGGCGACAATACCGCTGAGAACTCTTCAGAACTGGATGACAATAATGACTTTTTGCCGGTGCTCTCATCGCATCATCGGCGTGACCGCAAAAAGGCACGCAAGGACAAGCCAACGCCGCGCGAATACCGGGACAAGCAACAGCCGTCAGCTGGTGGCAGTGGCTCAGGTCCAGTTCAGGGCCAGGGCCAAAAGTCGGCTGCAGGACGTCGTCTGCCCGGCGGCATCGAAGCTGACGGACGCAAGCATATGGCCAGGCAGCGCGTGCCACGCGGCAACAGTCCACGGAAAAACGTTGGCGCCCCGGGCGCCAGCACCAGCGGCAACGCCAACGGCAACGGCAAGACTCAAAAGGAACGCAAGTCTGATACCTCACCCAGCGCCAGTCTGGAGGCTAACAACAGTGGCAACGAGGCCAAAGCCGGGGACACCGATGCCCAGGCAGCCGCCTCCACTGCAGCATCACCAGCTGCGCCACAGCCAAAACGCTTCATCGCAGCGCCGCCGCCAAAGGTTAACGCTTGGAAGGTAAGTTCCATTTGCCATTAATATATTTGCGGTTCAAATTGGAAGGAGTTAGTGGGAATCTCTTAGAGATTAATTTCATAAATTTACAAGAATAATATTTATTTTATAAAAATATAATTAAGTGTATCTAATTGTAATCAAAGGTCTAGTCCCTTTCTTTTATAAGGCTTTTTTGATTCTATACATTAGCTCGACAATATAGATTGATGCTAAGGAAAAATGAAAGCATATTGTAGAGCCTTAGAGAAACCCTATAAAAATACAAATTATATCGCTGTTTATTTAATTTTACCTAAAGAATCTTCTTCCTTCTTCTAAAGATCAATTTCCGAATTCATGGCCTTGTAGGCTATAATATCGTATTATGACATGAAAAAGCTCTGGTAGACAGAAGCAAAACAACGAGCGATAGGTGGGAAGGAATATTGAGAGGGGAGGAAAGCGCGTATGCCCATAAACGACATTGTTTTTGAATTGTTTGTTGTTGATCTGTTGGTAAACAAATGTGCGTAGAATGGCGTAAATAAAATTGGAGAGCAAAGCATAATAGCTGATAAATACAACAGGAAGGCGTAAAGAAAGACAACATCAAAACATAACATAAAAACACAACACAAGCCAGCATGCAAACACGTTTTCGTCATTATCATTGTTGATGTTGATGTCGTAGTTGTTATTATTTCTGTTGATTTTATCATTTATCTAAATTGTAACCGTATTTATTTACATTTGGCTGCACTAGCATTGCATAATATGTGATAGAAACATTTTGCCAAAACAAGCAGCAAGCGAAAGCGAAAAAAAAGAAACAAAAACAAACGAACTCAATTTGTTGGTATTTTTGTTGTTTTGTCTTCGTGTTATTTTTGATGTTTTTCGTGTGTTATGCAATACACGAAGGAACGAAACTAACGCCGGTGATTGAATCGGCGAACCCCACGAAAAAATACGCCCACAACAAAAGCGACAATAACAACAGCAACAACAACAGCAGCAGCTAATGCGCAGGCAATCGGTTGTTGTCTTTTGCTCTGCCCATTCACAGTTAGCCAAAGAGTACGACTGAAAAAATGAAAAGATTTTTTGAATTGTTTATTACATTGTGTTCATTTTATGTTTTAAACTTAATTAATTGAATTTGTTTGTGTCATGTTGAAAATTGTTTTTTATTTTGTTCATTTCTTCTTTTGCATTTATCACACGCAAAATGAGAGACATTGTATAAATGTACAGTTATAAATAAATGTCAAGGTCAGCAGTGCTGGCGCTGCGTCAGCTTCAGCGTCGGCGCAAGCGTCAGCGTCAGCAATTGTGGTTTGTTGTTTATACAAAAAAGAAAAGAGGAATGTAAATACATGGTAAATTTGTGATTTGGCATTAGGGATCGGACGAATGCAAGAGCAAAAGAGAAAAAGCGTAAAGAAAAGGCGTGGCGAATTTTTGCAATTGAATTGTATTGTGTATGTATGTATGTATGTGTGAGTGTGTGCATGCCGAATAGAGGACTTTAAGGTACAATTACGCTATCTCTTTCACTCGCTATCTCTCTCAGTCTGCACTCTATCAGACAGAATAATCAATTTTCGATTTGGCATAATATTTGTATGTACTAATTGCTTGAACTACCCTCTCATAAATTTGATACCTTTGATGTTCCACATTATGCGAATCTTAGAATGCAAATTGAGCTAATTAAGAAGAAGCTTGAAGCTTCTTTTTAAAGCATTTGCGCTGTTGCCGAGGTGAACACCTTCTTAGCAATAACAATAACAACAGCAGTTACTCTCGCTTTTGTTTCCGTTTGTTGTTGCTGTTTTGTTGTTGGTTGTCACACGGGTTTTGCTTTGACTTGTTGTTCTTTTTTTTAACTATCGACTGAGCCGCTGCACCACAGCGCAGCGCAGCGAGTTCAAATTAAAAAGTAACAGAAACTAGTTGACGTGTGCCGTTTCAGACGTTCGCAACGCTCGTGTCCATAACCTGCATTTCGCTTTAGCCAATTTTCTCGATTTAGTATTGTACAAGTTTAATTAAATACTAATTTGAAAATGAATTAACAAAATTGTCATCGCAATTCTGGTTCCCTTAGAAGTGTCTAGCTGGCAGCACGTGTTGACTGCTTCATAGTAGCCTGCGAAATTCACCACACTTGTGTGTCGTGGTGAATACTGAATTCGCTCTGAGACACAGCGATTAATATGAGACCCAAATTAGAATCATAAACACAAACAAAGTCGCCTATGTGTGTAAATGTGAATATAAGTACTTGTTGAATATCATCAAAATTCTGCGCTCTCACACTCTCTCTCTCTGTCTCTATCTGTTTGATTATGAGCGTGTGTATGTGTACCGTCCCATCTCGTGCCGTAAAAATATACCGTAAAGACGACTTGCTGTGCTCGTGTGTTGTTGTGTAGTGTAGTGTAATAAACACATATGTGTATATATATAGTAGACGCAGAAGCATTAAATTATCAACTTTAACGAGGAATAGCAACACAAACAAATAAACATGAAAACGAAAGTAAATATGCAATCATCTTAATCATTTAATGAGCTTACACAAAAGTGCAAGATCTAAATTTAAACTCATCAAATTGGTGTCAGCCAATTTATTTATTTAACGAATATTTGCATACATATACATGTGTAGGTGTGTGTACATTCATTAGAAATTTTATTGATAAATTTTTTTTCTTATGTTAGAGCAACTTATTGCGGTAAAAGCTCTAAGCTCTAATCTCTCCCTATTAATAAATTGGTAAAAAATCATAATTTATATAAACTATATATGAATATATATACACTGCGCGTCATCAGGTTAGCGCCCCCCTTTACACTCAACCTCAAAGCTAAATAAAATCTAAACCAGCAGAGCTCCATCTTTGAAATTTTGTTACATTATACTCCATTTATTTCTCTTTAAAATACAAAAAGAATGGCTACTGTAACAATAAGGATTATTTTTTAATAATTTTTTTTGTAAAATGTACAAAAAACATGTGACAAAAATTTGGTCATCAGATTAGCGCCCCCTGCGCTAAATTCAATTTATTTAAGTTAATTACCAAAAATAACATCTGTATTTTAAGCTATTGTTATTTTTAAGTAATATTAGTAGTGCGTAGTGCCGTATTTGTTTGAAATTACTTAAAAAATTCGATTAGGAATGGAATTATAAAGTTGTTCAATATTATTCAAGGATATGGTTGATTAAGCGTGTTCAGTACCTTCGATTAACTCTGTCTTTGTACTGTAATGCTTTCCGGACTCATATACTTTCCTGACCAACCATCCCCAGACGTTTCCAATGATATTAAGGTCGAGTGAGTATGGTGGCCACTCCATTAGATCAATTTTTTGGCCCTGAATCCAGGACTTCAGGGATCGGGCGGTCTGAATTGGGGCATTATCCTGCTGGAAAATCTAATGCCGGTTTTCAGACAGGTTATAGAAATGCGCAACAGCAGTTTTAAACACGATATTATGGTCCTATGCGTTCATGCGCGATGTTAAAAATTGAAGCTTGCAAGTGCTGTAGTAAGATATTGATACCTACACAAATGCCACACCACCCCCCCGCCGCAGCGGCTTGGCAACCGTTCCAAATAATGTTCTTCTATGAGTAGGTCATGGATATAATAATTATATCCATCAGTTCCTTCCAAATTCAATTTTTCTCATCAGAAAAGACAACATGCTGCCATTGGGTAGACCACGTCATATTCGCCCGGCCAAAATTAATGCGTATTTCTTTTCTCAGCATATCGACTGGTGTCTTTTTTTTTACATTCTGTTTCTTTAAGTAATTAACTTTCTTAATTGCTCTTTAGACCGTTGATAAGCTCGTCCTAACACTGATTTTAACCCTAATCTTGGTGGTCGATTCGTGGGAATTCGAAGCTTCTCGAACTAATGCTCTTCTATTTCCTTCTGAAATCACTTGATTATTGCCGCTTGTATAGTTTTTTCCATAGTTTTCCCTATTTGTAAGAAAATTGCCACTTAGTTTTCTGTTTTTTCCTGATTTTTCAGCAATTTTATGGTTGCATAGTCTAGATTCAAAGTATGCCTCAATCTTTGATTTTCAACCAAATATAAAACAGTTTCTTTACCCATACTATAAATATATTGAATACTTTGAGCTTCACAAAAAATTTGGTGAGTGTAATTGCCAAAATAAGCAAGATAATTACAATTGCATTTGGGGGCGCTAATCTGATGACGCAAAATAAGTGCACACATTTTTTGCGAAAATAGAGAAGGATAGAAAATAAAACATAACGGGTTTTCACTCGCGTTTTTTTTTTGGTATGAGAGACATCTCATATGATGATAATGAAATAAAAAAAAAAACCAAGAAGTTGCGTGCAATAGGCAAAGAGAAAAACGTAAAAGAAAATGAGTGTAAGGGGGGGCGCTAACCTGATGACGCGAAGTGTATTTATAGAACACCTGAGATTTGCAATTTGAAATGTGTTCCAGATATAATAAGCGAGACAATTATATTGTATTACAAAACAAAATCTTGTATATACCGATATACTCTAAATACAACACCTATTTTTGTTAATATGTATATATATTCTATCTGAATTCTCTTGTTATTATCTAATTTCCGTTCTGCGGTGCATTTGTTTTGGTTTTAAATTTATGTTTGCATTTTCCCTATCTGCCTTCCAGTGTTTCCATTGTGTCAACGAATAATTATCTTAGCAGTATATATGCAGATATACTTTTGATACGCTTCATTTCCTTATTCTTACTTTCTCTGTTGATCCACGTCAATTCGTAAAATGCACTTTTGTTTCTTTGTGCGATATCTTGTATTCTATAAAGAGGTATAAAAATATATATATGTATGTACTTATATATATGCATATGTACTTTTATTGTTTATACTGTAAAAATAAAATATATGATATTTGTAGATCTGTTGTACTATTCCTTACAGCTACAATCTCTGATGCTACATTTATAGTACACTTACTTTGTGAAAGAATTATAAGCTGTGCTTCAATTTTGATAACCCATCCAACATATTTGCAGTTTTAATTTAACGTTTACTTTGTCTATCTTCAATAAAAAACTTTGACAATTCACTTCAAATATTTTGAAAATTAGTGATATAATATAGAGAATTTGTAGTTCATTTCTGATTACAAATATTACGTGACCTAAGGGGATAATTCTCACAAAAAATAGATATACATAAAAAGAATATTTTATTTCCTATTTTTGCAAGGACTTGCAAGTCTTAGGTCACGTAATATTTTGAAATCGGTTATTAAATATCGTTCATACTTATTTAATATCTTTAAATATTGACGGCACCTCTTCAAGTCGGCACGTAATACTCTCACCCATTCGCCAAGGTCGTTAAATTACTGATGATTAATTTCCTAATTCATTTTCTATTTTTCTGTACTGATACCGATTCATTGTTATCGTTGTTTACTCCAAAAATATTGATAGATGGACAAGCAAGAGATTGACGATAGGTTTATCATGGTTCCGTTTGGGCTTATCTCTCTGAATCTGTTAATCAGGTTTTGTTATAATTGTTAAAAATATCGATTTCCTTTAAAAAATAACTCAGTATTATTTGTAAGGCCTATGAATTTTGCAAGAATATTTGAAACCATTAATATTAAATAAAATAAGTTGTATTGATAGGTATTAAAGTCTTTTTATTAAATGTTGAAAAATTAAAAATACCGAATGGTTCAATACGTCGATAATGCATTGATAGGATAATTAAATAGCTCAATCTTCTAATTACATAATTTTCGAGAAATATATTTACATATGCATATAGTCGATCAAGCCTATCATAAACTATTCTATTTTACATTATTCTAGAACTCCCCGTTATGGTCAGTCTCTTGGGGGTCGACAAGCAGCAAAATAAATTCCATCACCAGTTAAATAACAACAATGTTTTCACCCACACATACACACACACACACACTCACTTTGCCTTGGGCACTGGCTCCAGTTCATCAACTTGTCGTTATCAGTTTTCTAATTGCGTAAAATTCAATAAAAACAATGAAGAATGTTGCAGCTGGGCGAAACCGACTGCATAATACTCGTTCACAAATATGATATGATTCCAGATATTCTTATCTCTGTAAAGCAGAATGTTTTGATTAGTAGGACTGTAGAAAATTAGTTTCCCGAGTTTTCACGCCCCTAATAGGCGTGTATATGCAATTTTTGACAATTAATTTAAATAGCTTTCGATTTCTGGCTAAAAACTAAAAAATTCTATTATTTTCAATTTGATAAGCCTTCAAAGGGATTTTATAGATTCACTATAAATATATTTATGATCTTGAGTTGTGAATGCGCTAATCTCCAAATTGAAGTCAATAAAAGCGTTTCTATACCTGATATATTAAAACCCGACTTACCACTCTCATAATGTAAAAATAGTATCAATATAAATATGTTCGTCAATTCAAATCTAAAAACCAATATACTTTATATTGCGTGTATAGGAGTAGAAAAATCGAGAACGCTTAAAATAGCAAATAGTAAAAGGAACATTAAGAAAATGGCCATAAATTTGTTTTCGTTCGAGTGCTGAGCCTTTTATTTTTGTTTTTCTTTATGTTTCTATATAGATAGAGACAGGTTCTTAAGTTTATAATTTGCCAGAGCTATTAAGTGATAAGACTGGTTGGTTACGCTTCGCCTCAAGTTGTCTGCGGTTGGGCGAGCATTCGAATCAGTTGGAAACCGGCTAGACCCGCCTTCCAATCACCCTCTGCTGATTTGACTTGAAGCACGTTGGAATCTTAGTTTGTTTTTTAATTATCTTTACATAAGTCCAATTGCGGCCGGCATTTTCGTCGTACTTATTTCAATTTGCTAAGACGTAGAAATAGCTGAACCCCGTTGGGTGTTGAGGGGCGACAGATGTAGAGTGGAAACTCGACTAGAATGTGGGTCTTTTTGCACGTTTATTTTGTATTTTTAATATGCTGTAGTAGTTGTTGTTGTTATTTTCTGTACGATTCACCGCGATCGAATCGACTGCGCTGTTGCTTGGGATTATATTTAAAGTTGTTATATTGTGTTAGAATCGGCTCAGTTGTCTTTCAACGATCGGTCGTTGTGGAGCCAAAGATATATACAGCTGTCTTATATATAGCAAATAAATATAACTACGTTTTAGCCATAGCCGAAGTGTTATATTGGCAACTCTACTGCGTATTAATGTGATATCGAGCGAGAGGCAAGTTTGAGTTGAATTTAGCAAATATCTACGAGGTTTTGTTTACATTTGGTATGGGTATGTGATGATGATTAATGTGCATATGTTTTCTCAATTAATACGAATCGTGCTCTATGAGAGAGCTCTTCTAATCATTAGTGAATGACCTTGAATTATGAGAAAGTACTACGTGCAGTCGAAATATAATCTAAGTGTAATAGAATTTTATTTTTAAACATTTTATTATTATATGGCAAATACGTCAGTGCCACGGGGGGTTCAAATGTCTTGAAAGTGATTAGAGCAATAAATACGTATATGTATGTATATATTTATTTGCCTGTAGTAAATGTAGAATTTGAATGCTTTTATTTAAAGATCACGCTGATAGCACATGGGCTTGGGAAAATGTTTGAGTGGAAAACTACGTAGTCTGATACCGTGCCAAGAATGACTAATGCCGAGTCCTGCATTTGGGGCTGAGTCATGGAAAAGTCCATTGTTGTTTCAATTGATTATTCTTATATATAAATTGTTCTCCTGCAGACAATGTTCTGAAAATTTGAGTACGTGCTGTGAGTCGCGTTTGTAGATTGTGAATCTTGAGCTGAATGAACGAACATACATATGTATATTAATTTAAACATTTATTTTGTTTTTGTCGGAACGGTTTTTATTAAAATGCATTATAGTATACAATGTATTTACATCAAAAGTAAACCACGCGCACTTCATTGAGCACTTTCTCTCGCTGTCTCTCTCGGTCTGCCTCTCTTTTCTTATTATGCTCAATTCTTAGCCTCGGTCTCTTGCATACCAAGTTTTTCCACCACCCGCCGATGCGTTGTTGCGTCTGTGGCGTACGTGCCGAAAATCACATGTTGTTTGTTTTGCTGTTTTTCAGTTTACAGTTACAAGCTGTTGCGAGCGAGACAGCAAATGTCTTATGCTTATTGACAACTGTTGTGGTTGTTGTGCTCTCAGTATTCACACTTGTTAGTTGTTTTTGCTTTTTATTTATAAGTCAATTCGTAACAAATACAAAATGCACATTTTGAAAACAAACTAAAATTGGAACGCTTGCAATGCATACAGCTAAAAAAAGAAAAATAAAAACAAAAACAAAACCTGTATACGACTAAAATACAGGGTGCTCGGTATCATGCGCTGTCTCTCATTGCCTTGGCCCCCGGCAAACCGAACTTCTCTCTCGCTTATGGGTGTGTGTGTGCTCTCTTTCTCGCTCTCTCTCTCTCTCTCTCTCTCTCACGCATAAAATAACCGGCGCATCGGCTGTTTTTTGTTTTTATTTTGTTTTGAATTGCCTTCATGCTCAATCTTTGTTGCTTAGTGAAACCAGTTGTTGTTTTTGTTACTTTTTGCCTGGCCCTCTTTGTCCGCTGCGAGCGCTGTTGTTGTTGCTGCCATCTTCGCTGTGTGTTCGCCTTTGCTCACGTAGTCAACGCGTGCACAGCGTACGCCAGCAGCGACGCGAGCAGCGCGACAGAGTTGTTGTCATTGGCTTTGCTTTGCTGGCAGCGCACAGAATTCAACCAGCAGCTAAAGAGAACGGACGCGTTTTTTCTGAAAAGCTTAACTAGCAAAACACAAATACGCAGTCATTTGATTAAACAATTTGTGAGAGTGAGAACAGTGAACAACTAAATCAATTTGAACATTTTCGCTGAAAAGTAAAACAAACAATTGTGTGAGATAAGATATGAAAAATTATAACGTGTGTTGCCTGTAGATAGAAGGCAAACTTCAAGCATTTGTGAATTTCTTTAGGTAATTTTGTTTTTGCACAATATAAACACATGTATAATGAAAGTATATATGTATGTGTGTTGCCAGTATTTTGCGTACGGGTGCCATGAACCGTATCTAGGTTAGGGACACTCCTCACGTCATATTGGCGTGTTGCGTTTTGAGACTAGGGAGAGAGAAAAAAAAAAAACAAGTGTAATAAAAATGTAGTACAGTTGAATTGATTTTTCAATTCCACATAGAAAATCGTAAAAATGTTGAGCACTTTTCATTGACAATAACCAGTAAACATAACTTATTTATTATTATTTTTAAATGATTTCATGCAGATATCAACAAAACAAGTGGGCAGCCCGAAAGCTGGCAGCTCGCCATTGGACAAACGCGTCTTGCAGCCAAAAGCGCAACAGCAATCAAAACAGACTGGCAGCAGCAATAGCAACAGCAACAATAATAATAATAATAGCAACAAAAAGACACAGCAGCAGCAGCAACCGCAGCAGCAACAACAACAACAACTGAAACAAGTGCAACAACAACAAGGAGCTGCAGCACAAACGGCAATAAAGACCACGACAATAACTGCAACAGCAACAACAGAAGCAGGAGCAACAGTAGCCGCAGCAGTTGTCGCAGTTACAGCAACAACAACAAAAGAAGCTATTTCAACGAATGGTGAGTAAACATTCTTTCGCTCTCGCCTGGCCTCTCTCTCCTCTCTCTCTCTTTCTCTTTCGCCCTCTTTGTGTTGTCTCTCGGCGCAACTGCGTCGGAAATATGATGTTGTGATTGGCCTGATTGAAAATATATGCTTATATTAACAATTCCTTCCATTATACAGTTGATGCCAGTATTGCGGATGCGCTCGTTGGCTCAGTGGTAAAGGACAAAAGGAAGGTCAATCAAAAGGTAATAGAGAAACTTTAGCCAACTCCAATCGTGTACCATTTTGCTATATTATTTCGGTTATCTCGGTTTTAGGCCAGCGACTTTAGCAACGTTGGTGAGTGGCCTACGCTTATCGGCGGAGTTTCCGGCAGTGGCAAAGCCACCGTTAACGAGCCCAAACGTAACGCAACAAAAAAACAGCCTGTGGCCAAAGCAGTAACTGCAGCTGGCGTAGCAGCAGCAGGCACCACCTCAGCCAATCAACCCGCAGCTTCAGTGACTACAGCAACAGCTGCCACAAGCAGCGACAGCAACGCCGAGCCAAACGTAGCCGCAGTTGCCACTAGCAGCAGCAGCAGCCAAGCCCAGAACGCCACAGTCAGCACGAGTCAGGATGCCAAGAGCCAGCGAGAGGCCGAGCAACCCGCTGGCAGCGCAGCTGTCCCAGCTACTGGCGCCTTTGCCGGAGCTGCCACCAATAAGAAAATACCCAAGCACAAGTGGCGTCCACTGCAAATCGATCTGGCAAAGTCTAGCCGGCCCAAGCCCATTGGTGGGCGGCCCAATCGCCGGTTCAGCGACGATGCATACGAGCAGCGACGTCCGCCACGTGCTTACCATGAGCGCGCTGGCCCAGCGGGAGCCCGAGGCTCTGAGGGCCACGCAGGAGGCGGCGGCCCAGCCGAATCACGGCCACATGGTGGCCGTTATGCGTACAACGCACGCACGTCTGCTACGACCGAGCGCGTGGATTCCTGGCGTAGCAGCGGCCCCAGTGCCGCTGTCTACGATGAGCAGCGCTCCGGCATCGGAGCCGAGGGGGCAGCCGGTGGTGCCGCATCAGCGTCAGCGCCAGGGGCTGGCGGGTTGCGTGGGCCACGCCGCTTCCGGACGCCGTATCGGGGCGGGCGGCAAGGGCGCGGTGGATTCACAAGACCGGGACCAGGTCGTCCAACTAATCGCATACCACGCCATCTGCTAGCTTCTGGCGAGTACGCCAACTACTTGCCGGCGGACGCAGCCGGCGCAGATTCCTCGCAATCCTACGTCCTCATGGGCACCCACTATTTCGGCAACGTGCCGGCTGCCTACATTGAAATGGACGCCACTAGCGTCAAAGAGGCCATCAAGAAGCAAGTGTAAGTAGTTTCTCTGATCTAGTCCATATAGAATCTAGTCTTGCATCAATTCACTTTAAGCTAAGATAGCCTTAAGACGCCAGTCATAAGTGGAAAAAGCGATTGAATGTCATTTAACATTAGCTCGACTAACCTGGTTCTCTACCCTTGCCCACAGTGAATACTATTTTAGCGCCGATAATCTCACCGGCGATTTCTTTTTGCGCCGTAAAATGGACCCAGAGGGTTATATACCGGTCACTCTGATCGCCTCGTTCCATCGCGTCTTGGCGCTCACCACGGACGTGGCATTAATTGTCACCGCCATCAAGGAGTCGGACAAGCTGGAACTTTTCGAGGGCTACAAGGTCCGCACAAAGACAACGCCCACCATTTGGCCAATTAGCGATATCATTGATGAAGCTGACAAGTCGAAGTTGCAGCCGAAGCTGCAACAGCAGCAACCACAGCAACAACAGAAGCAGCAGCCGGAAACCGTTACTGTGGAAGAGCCAGTGCTAAAGAAGACGGAGAAAGCAGAAAACCAGACTGAACCGCTCAAAGAGGCTGTGCAACCAGAGGCATCGGTGGCAACTTTGTCATCAACGCCACCGCCGCCAGTCATATTGAGCCCAGCCATGGCGACGAGGCCATTGAATAGCATACCGCCGCCGCCGGTGCCGCGCAATTCGAATCTGGTGCCTCAGATGCTGCTGGAGAAGCAGCGACCCACAATGGCGGCCAAAAACTCGGTGGATGCGATCAGTGCGCTCACCCAGCGTGTAGAGGGCGTTGTTGGCCAAAAGGCGGCGGCTGGGGCTGCCGCTGAGCTGGCCGATCATCTCAGTGGCCTCGCCGAGAGCGTGAAGCCCAAGAGTAGCTCGACGCCGGAGAAGCGAACGGCGGCGAAGGCAGCTGGAGCTGGAGCTGGAGCTGGTGAAGGCGATGGGGTAGTAGCTGCTTTGGTGGCGGAGCCTGAGGGCATGTGGAAAGAGGTAAAGAGACGCTCCAAAACAAATGCTTTAAAAGAAAACGCTACTAAATCTATCAACAACAACAACAACAACACGACAACACAACAGCAAACGCTTTCACAAACGCTCAACAACAACAATAACAATGTAAAAAATGTAAAGCCCAACAAGAACAACAACAACAACAACAACCACACCGTCACTGCAAACGCCACCTCGACCTCGTCCATGTCCACCACGTCCACGTCCTCGTCCAAGTCCTCGTCTGCATCAAACGCCACATCCAACGCCTCATCAGCCAGCAACACATCCATCGCTGCCTCTGTTACCACCAATGCCACCGCCACTACCACCAATACCACAACCACTTCCACCACTGCCACAAAAAACAATAAAAAATCATCTTCTGGCAACGCTGCTTACACGACCAACTCCCAATCCTCCTCCAAAACAGCTGCTGCTGCGCCATCCGCTCAGTGCCATGCCGAAAAAGAAGAACTAGACTTTCAATTTGACGAGGAGCTAATGGACCCCATACCCGCCACCGGACGCATCAACAACTTTACCGAAAACTTCTCCGACGACGATGAATCCGACTACGAATTTGCTGACCGTGACATCAACAAGCTGCTAATTGTTGCCCAGGTGGGCCGACCACCCAAACACGATGGCTACGATCGCACCGCCGACTACACCTCACGTACGAAAATCACTCAGGACTTAGAGAACATAATCAACGACGGGCTGGTCAACTACGAGGAGGACCTGTGGACCACCACCAATGTGGTGCCCAACACCGACTATCGCACCGTGAACGTCATCTCACAGGCAGACTTTGAGAAGCTGGCGCCCAACAAGAGAGCACCAACCCAGTTGTCCCATCAACCGCCGCCACCACCGCCGAGCTATGTGGATGAGCATGAAGATGCTGACGGCACCCTGGTGGATGCTGATGCCACACTCAATTCGACGCTGAACTCCACACTGAAGTCACGTCGTGCGCGCTTCTATGCCGCGCCCAACTCCCACTCAATTGATCCCCGCACTCCAAGGAAACGCAAATTGCGTCACACCGCTAATCCGCCGGTGGAAGCTCACGTCGGCTGGCTGCTGGATACCGTGGAGCATCGGCCCCGTACTACCTCGATGGGCTCGTCGGCGGGCACATCACCCACTACCTCGTCGTATGGTTCCTTTGGATCATCGGTGCCGCAATCTTTGCCCGTTTTCCAGCATCCGTCGCATGCGCTGCTCAAGGAGAACAACTTCACTCAGCAGGCCTATCACAAGTATCATTCGCGCTGCCTGAAGGAGCGCCGTCGTCTGGGCTATGGTCAATCTCAAGAGATGAACACCCTTTATCGCTTCTGGTCCTTCTTCCTGCGCGAAAACTTTAACAAGAGCATGTACAATGAGTTCCGAACGCTGGCGCTAGAAGATGCGCGCAACGGCTTCCGCTACGGGCTGGAGTGTCTGTTCCGTTTCTTCTCGTACGGCCTGGAAAAGAAGTTCCGCCCGAATGTGTACCAGGACTTCCAGGACGAGACCATTGCCGATTATGAAACAGGTAATACAATATGATTTAATTATATACACATGACTTCAAGTTAATCATCGTCTTGTCTGCATAGGTCAACTGTACGGCCTGGAGAAGTTCTGGGCTTTCCTCAAGTACTATAAGAACGGCGAGAAATTGGAGGTGCAGCCGAAGTTGGCTGAATATCTAAAGAACTTCAAGACTATCGAAGACTTCCGCGTTGTGGAGCCAGAGATCAATGAAATGTTACAGGGTGTGGGTAGTCTGACCCCAGGGCGTCAGCTCAATAGGCTGCGCAGCGTGTCCGAGAGTGATGGCACAGCTGTGATTACCGCTGGTGGAAGACGCCTGAACACCACCATCACCAACCGCAGCGACTATGTGGGTCGTCTGTTGCAGCAGCAGCAGCAGCAACAACAACAACAGCAACAGCACCAACAGCAGCATAATCAACACCATCAGCATCAGCAGGGCGGCTATGGGGGCTATGGACAGCAGCAAAATCGTCGACGCACCGGCTCCTTTGGCAGCAGCACCGTGCGCGTGCGCAGTGGATCCTTGGGCAATAAGCCACAGGTGGTGAATCGCAATTATCAGCAGGGACCACAGCACGAGCTGCGCCGCGGCGGCAGCAATTCTGGCCTGGCGCCACACACACACAAACAGCGCCAAGGGCAACAGCAGCAGCAGCAACAGCACAAGTCAAAGCCGCAGGCAGCTGCTCAGATTGGCGCACAGCTAAGTGCAGCACGTGCTAGCAATTCAACCGGTCCAGTGGCAGCAACCACCTCGACCTCAGCATCAGCAGCAACTGCAGCAGCTGGTACGTCATCTTCCACCTCGTCGTCGTCGAAGAAGTAATTCGTAATTTCGCACCAAAACATGGATTAAGATTAATTATGACTTACGATTAGCTTGGAGCTACAAGTTGGAGGGTTTCGTTCGACTATTCTCCAATTCTCCTTTGTTTATTCAAATAATTCATATATATTTTTTAGTAGTATTTGAGTGAAGCGTTATGTGGGAACATCCGTTAGCGTTAGACTAATTAAGTTAAATTTGAACTTTGTTTATTGCAATTTCTTAAAGTTGGTTTAGTAGTTACGATTAACTGTTTCGATTGTTTTTTTTTTTCTTCTCTTTCTCAACGTCTAACTGAAACGAATGCTTATGAAATGCTCAATGTTTGTTGTTAGCGCATGCATACATACATACATACACAGACACAGACACTGATACAAACACACCCATATATACAAACAGCACACATATACATTCACATACACAGGCAGCCTGTGCTCTGTGCCCAGTGCCAACCAGCTATGAACTAAATTTATAATTTTACATTTTCATCGCTTTTCATTCACTGTTTGTTCATATTTGAATATATAGATGGTTAGATATTTGTATATTTTGTACGAGACAAACAAATTTCCTACAGAAGCAGCGTTGTTATTTGAACGCATTGCCATGAACTGTTGTACTATATATACGATAAATATAAAGGTCAAGATATAACGATAAATAATAACCCTAATATAATTACCAAAAACAAAAGAAAAACAAAAAAAAACGACAAATGTAAACGAAATTAATATACAGAAACCAAATGATCTTAAAGCAAAAGAAATTTTGTACATTAAATATGCGCAAAAGTACATTCAAAGTTATATAAATATATTTATATAGCACCACACAATACATATGCATCCATGTGTATATATATGAATATATATTGAGTATATATACCATACATATAAATATATATATTTATATATTTTGTGTGGCCCAGGAGCAAATGAAATGTTAATGTTTAAGATGCAGGCGTTTGTTATCCTAAAACTTACCTATCGAGGCATGCGGGGCGCCACTGCCAGCGAATTTTAGTAATTTAGGCATTTAAAATGTATCCAAAATGAAATGAAATATCTAAAGGAAAACCAAAAAAAAAAAAAAAAAAAACAAAACAAGAAAATCAAAAAAATACCCAAATCAATTTGGATTTTTCTTTTCACTGAGCATTGCACTGACCACACCCCGAACACCTCTCACCTGTGACTCTCTATCCATAGAAAGAGCGAATCAATATAATTTTTTCTGCGACCCGTCAAGCATTTATAAGTTGTTTTTTTTTTTTTGCAAACTACAAATCCTCTTTTATTTTTAAGTTATATTGCACTTGTTACACTTAGTTGAAATACAATCTGAAAGAAAATCTTTAAAATATGAGGAAAAAGTTAGAAACTTACAAAAAATGGCAAATTCAGTGCATAGGAAAAAAGAAGGAAAGAACAGAGAAGAACTATAAGGAAAACCCCAATAAAAACGAAATGTGTTTTGCCTAGCTATTAGAATTAGATTTAAACATATGTGAGAAATCAAACGTAAGCTTACTATTGATAATTACCTATATACGATATACATATGACTCTAAAGCGTAACTACAATTTGAAAATATATAAGCAAAAGTTTACGGTGAAGTGTTGCTTGATGGCACAGTTTGCAAAACTGCGAGGTCAGCTATATATATATATTTATATATGTATACAACATAATATATAAAATGAAAAGTCCAACTAAATCAAACATGAACTAATCCCAATCCATTAGCTCCTTGGTTCTTGCTTCGCTCATCTAACAATAAGCAACCAAATAAGAAAAAAGTGCAAACAATTGTCATTATGTATACACACACACACACACACATACCCACGTACATACTATATAATAATTATATCTTTAACATTTAATTATTTGTAAATATATTTTCTGCTTTTAAATTGTCGCTCCCTAATTGTAAAACACTCACACAAACACACACACACACATAAACTTTCAGCTTTCCTATGAGCTTATATATATATGTATATAGAAATATATATGTATCGATATAGACCACATTTTTAATGACATTTTCAACCATAATTCGGCTGTTGCATACCTCGTACTTGTATATTAGTTTGCGGTCCAAACTGTTTCAATTCTTTCCACACTGAAGTGCGCAAATCTGTTGAGTTTTGATTATATTTCATTTTATAATTATTAACTAAATGTGGATACACATATTTTGGACATATTTCGTGTCGTATCCCTTTAAGTTTCAATTTTTTATATATATATATACATAATACAATTAATCTATACGAATTACGACTGGATCCAAAGTCCGAGTAAACGCAAAAAAAAAAAAAAAAAAAATAAATAAATAAAAAAAATACAAAAAAATTTAATAATTAATTTTGTAAGCTACTTAAAATGGAAATACGAGAAAAAAATCGATTATTGTGAAAAACGTGATAGTTTAAACCATAAAGATTAATATTTACTATTATTATATGAATAATTAATTATAATGCATAAAGCAGAAAAAAAAAACGAAAAAATCATAAACTAACGTAACAAAAAAAATATAAAATTTTTTTAAAATTAACAAAAAAAATGTTAAAAGTAATTGAGTAGAAAAAAACTAAAACAAAAAAATGAATAAAAAAACTTGAAAAAACTCAAAAAACGGTCTTTTAACGGAACTTGCACTGCTTCGTTGACTAACGGCAGTTAAGCTGTAGCTGGTGTTGCACGCCATTTACGCCAGAGGGCGCCACAGCTGGACTGCTCAATGTTGCCGCAACATGTGGCGGGAGAGTGACGTGGGTCATGCTGCAAAGGATAATGGAATGTATAACTAAACATAAGCATCAGCATAAACTTAAACGGGGCACACAAATCGACCCTTTGAGTAATTAACCCCTTTTGCAGTTATGCGCTATTTGTCAACCAGGCAACAAACGGCACACCAAGGAGTAACACAAACAAACACACACACACACACACACACACTCACACGCACGCAGACAAACACACCTGGATTTGTCTTCTCGGCTCCTGCGTTGGGTGTCAGAGATTAACGCCTGACTTGAATTATGGCCTGGCACCAGAGCCTGGCCTGGCCGGGCCGACCCGACCCCTGTGGCCCGGCCACTGACCAGGGCAAACTACTTCGCAAATCCGAGCAGAACCAAAAAGTCGCAGGCATGGAAAAATCATGTATAAAACATAAGAGCGACAAAACACGCACACACATCGATTGGGGCGGGTGGGGGTGTTGAGTGGGGTGTGGGGCTCTGAGGCACCTACCGAATGTCGCCAGATGCCAGCCTAGTCTGGCCATAGCGTGAGGCGTTTAAAAATTGAAAACCAATTTCGTAGCGATTTAAAAGAACGAAGCGGTTCGATTGGTCGAATATGCCTTTGTGTATGGGCGTGTGTGTGTTTTTGTGGTTGTGTGTGTGTGTGTGTGTGTGTTGGCCAGCTCATTGTGTGACTTTTCACACTTCTCGGGGCCAGTTGCCAGTTGGGGCTCAGTGTTTAGCCTGTGTTACCAATATTTATGGCTCAGTGGGGATACGACGCGCGACTCTTGGCTGGCGTGACCGCAACCCAGGATCAGCCCAAGTGTAATCACCTGACCCGTCGTGACGTCGCCAGATCTTATGTGTGTGTGGGGATGTGGGTGGCGGATACTCCAGCTAAATTTAATGGGCGTTTAACCTTGTGACTCGCCTGTGGCACCCACCATGACGCGACACGATCTGTCTGGCGCCTGTCATGATGGATATGTGCAATTTATTGGCACTTCACTTCGATAATCAGCCAGCTGCACGCGCTCCCCTCCGGGCCAATCGGACTTTGCTTGTTAAATAGCTGCTTGTCAGCCGGCGGGAGCAATTTGCCCAGCTATCTACAAACTATGCATAAGTACAAGTGCGCATTTGCTACGCTGCGTGTAGCTGCGCTCTGGCACGGACAGTTGAAGTGAGGGAGCCTAAAGCTATGTGTCTATATAGAGTACATAGTCGATACATATGTAGACCTTAATATCATATAGGTATATGGAATGTTCGAATATATGTATGTACTTATACGAAGGCGGGGCAGACCCATTAAGCTGAATATGTTTGACACTTCTCTATTTGTTTTATAAGTTTTTTTTGCTAAGTATTTACTTTGAGTATTTTCTCTAAGTATTTCCTCTAAGTTTTTCTCCTATGCACTTCCTCTAAATATTTCCCCAAAGTTTTTGCTCTGCCTTTTATCCAAGTTTTTCATGCTTAGCTGAACGATCACACACTTTACAGCACTGTACGAATGACCCCCACAAGGCCTGGGCGACTGACTGAAGAAATGTTACAGCTGCTGCCCTTTATATAGAGCGACTTTCACTCAATCAAAGTTGCTCTCAGATGTTGAGTCTGGTCGTTGCAGTCGAGCCTTAAGTGACCAATCGAAACAGTCTCTGTTGCTGCAAGCATTCGAGCTTCGTTTTACGTAAATATAATACTGCTGTAGTTTTTCTTCGTACCCAGACAGACAGAGAGTCAGACGAAGAGACAGACGAAGAAGCAGACGAAGAGACAGACAATGAGATAGACTGTGAGATCGACAGGAAGTTAAAAAGAGGAACAGATAAACAGTCGAACAGATATATAAGTATGTATATACAAACAAACATACATATTAAATCGGATTACCTCATTACGCTGCTCTTCGGTTCTATAGTTCTCTTAAGGACTATGCCTCAATTTCTGGCTTTTTCATTATAAACATTTTGAAATATATAAGTATTACGATATAAATATTACGATATACATACACATGCATATATTGTTAAAAAATTTACTTTTAATAAAATTTTGGTATACAAAAGTGTTGTGTTTAGCCTTTTTTAATTAAGAGTACTGTACACCCTAGTCCTAACCTAGTCATATACATATAAATATGTATACTCTATTGCATTTGAGCCCTTCTCAAATACCGTTGCACTAATGCGAGACGTTGGGATTGAGCATGATTACACGATTTAAAGTGCAGAGCCGTCGAAATGGAATCGCGTGTCAGCGAGAATTGTGCAGAATTGCAGTCATGAATGCTTAAGCCTAATTGGAAACATGGCTTCGATTCCTGAGGTAAGGCTCCGCATTTAGATAAGCGTCCTTTGCGCCACCCCCGCGCCGTCCCACGTTTACCGCAGCGACAACATTTGCACATCGGCTTAGCGCCATTATTGGCGCAGACCATAAATATTTTGGAGCGTTCGCAATTTTGATTTGCCGCACCGCGTAATTAGTTTGGCCTGGTCCAGGACTACGGCCGGGTTCGAGTTCAGGTCCAGGTCCCGGTCCAAACATTCTCACCGCATCCAATATCGGAACGAAATTGGTAATGCGCTTAACTGATTTTTGGCGGCATCTGCGAATTTCTAATAATTAAATTAAATATTTCATAAAATTGTTTCAGATGCGCCATCAAGTGTTTCACACATGCCATACGCATATAATTATAAATTAATATGTACCCATATTATATGTGGATATGGATATGTATGTGTATGTATATGTATATACAGGCACTCTATATGCTATATGCCAAAAACTAATTACATTTTGGCCTGCAATGCTTGCGGCTGGCGCGATGAGGCTCGTCTAGGTAAATAACCAATGCAGCCAATAAATATTTGAGTTTCTGCCTGCTGCTGCTGCTGCTTTTACGGGCTTACCATGTATGTATGTATATATGAGTAAATATGGCACATACATATATAAATATTTGCTGCCAAAAGGTTTAATATACGATATTTACCACTGAAAGAAATATAAATTCG